TCTCCTCTCCTTCCTCATGTCCACTATCATCTCCTTCGTCTTGTCCGTGTTGAGGCTGAGGTTATTGTCCTTGCATCATGACACCAGCCCGGCCACCTCCCTCCTGTAGGCTGCTTCGTCCCCGCCAGTCATGCGACCTATCACTGCAGTGTCGTCCGCGAACTTCAGGATGATGTTGTCTTTGTGGGAGGCGACACAGTTGTGGGTGAACAGGGTGTAGAAGGTGGGACTGAAGACACATCCCTGTGGGGTGCCAGTGTTTGTAACAAACACCTTCTCCTGTCCGTGTCCCTTTTCCTGGTGGAGGGACACGAGCTCTGCGAGTGCTCTTGTGTGTTGAGTGCATTTTAAAGTACAATATACATAAAATGTATTATTACTGTAAATATTTGGGTAGTAACAGTAACTATAAAAAAAGATTCTGCACTTGCTTTTGAAGGTACAGTGCTGATCTGTGTTACTTTGCTTACTGTTTATATCCTACCAGAGGTAGATGCTAATGAATATTGAAGTGTATTCTAATTGTCATTTTGTAGAAAATGCAGTCTTATGTAGACTTTAACGGTTGTACACTAACATTCTTAAACACTGAAGAACCAAAGTGAAGTGGGGAAAAAGCTGCTATTACAAAAGAGGTATTAAGTCATTTTAAGTTCTAAGTTTAGGTTCCATCCATTCATCCAGTTTTCCTCAGCTTATCCAGAGCCGGGTCGCGGGGGCAGCAGTCTAAGCAAAGATGCCCAGACTTCCCTCTCTCCAGACACTTCCTCCAGCTCCTCCGGGGGAATGCCGCGGCGTTCCCAGGCCAGCCGAGAGACATAGTCCCTCCAGCGTGTCCTGGGTCTTCCCCGGGGCCTCCTCCCGGTGGGACATGCCCGGAACACCTTCCTAGGAAGGCGCCCAGGAGGCATCTGAAACACCCGAGTCACCTCAGCTGGCTCCTCTCGATGTGGAGGAGCAGAGGTTCTACCTTGAGCTTTTTCCGGGTGACTGAGCTCCTTACCCTATCTCTAAGGGTGCGCCCGGCCACCCTGCGGAGGAAGCTCATTTTGGCCGCCTGTATCCGGGATCTTGCCCTTTCAGTCATGTCCCAAAGCTCATGACCATAGGTGAGAGTCGGAACGTAGATTGACCAGTAAATCGAGAGCTT